ATACACCAAAAAGTAAAGAGCATCAACATAAAGAAGAATTTACACCAACAAATGGATAAAACAGCCAGTCAACATCAAATGGCAGTAACCCTAAATTTAAATTGACTGAATTCCCAATCAAAAGACACAGCCAAAACCCATCGGCATGTTACATCCAGACCTGTTTCACATGCAAGGATACACAAAGACTCAAAACAAAGGGATGGAGAAAGATTTACCAACCAAATGGAGAGCTAAAATAAATAATAAATAAATAAAAAGCAGGAGTTACAATTCTTGTATCGGATAAAATAGATTTTAAAGCAACAAAGATATAGTGGTAAAAGGATCAATGCAACAACAAGAGCTAACGATCCTAACACCCAGATAGGAGACTTAGATTCAATGAGACAGAAAATTAATAAGGATATCAAGGACTCGAACTCAGATCCAGAACAAGTAAACTTAATAAATATTTATAGAGCTCTCCACTTCAAATACACAAAATATACATTCTTGTCAATACCACATCACACCTACCCATTAGTTTAAATGAAACATTGATTGGCCATTATTAATACCCAATTTTTTTCAAAATAAAGCAATATTTCCATTTACTCTCCCTCTTTCTCTTCCTCTTTCTTCCTCTCCTTTACTTATTTTTTTTTCTTTCCTTCTCTCAAAAAAAAAGAAATCAACTTGTAAACCTCTAGATCCAGGTCGGCAATGTCTCTTTCATTGCTTGATTTCCTTTCTTCCCTTACCTCCCTCCCTCCCTCCCTCCCTCCCTCCCTCCCTCCCCGCTTCCTCCCTTCCTTCATTCCTTCATCCCTTCCTTCCTCCCTACCGTCCTTATTCCCTTCCTTTCTGCCTTCCCCCCCCCAAAAAAAAAATACACTTGATCAAGAAGCTCAAAGTATAGAGATTTGCCTAATGAGTATCCTTGCACGTATGTAAAATTCTACATATACAATGATATTTATTGATGTATGACCCATAAGGGCAAACAACTGGAAAAACACTGTTAATGAATATAGCACAGATCAAATAAATAATGATGTATTCATGGGACAATGGAATTTGGGTGACAATTAGCTATACTTAACAACATGCATGAAAGTGTCACAAACAAATCAGAATACACACAACTGAAAGAAGTCTGCTGTAGAACATCTATCATGCCCATAACAGTGACTGAAAGCCATGAGTGGCAAACCACATGGCAGTTATAAACAATGAGACCTCTTCGAAGGCATACTGCTGATTCTACTTCCTACAGGTTTATTATAGATCATTGTTCTGTCAAGAAGTTCAAGCTAAAAGTTCAAGCACCATGCCCTTAATTCCCACGAAAATCCTATTCCCCAAGAATAAGGCAGCATTCCTATAGCACAGAATATCATGCTGATTTAAAAGATGTGCAGAAGGATAGACTCAACACATTAGGCTTATTATGCAGTTATTAGAAGAGTTAGGGTTTTTTTCCCTGTTCCAAACTCCATTTTATTATAGGTAGTTCTGCAGTTGATTGAATTATAAAGCCAGAGTCCTGCATATGAATGGTCAGACCTCACAGAGCTAAACTAATTCCACAGCAGGATTGCTTCATGCAGCAAATGGATAAATCACACTCAGCAAGGTGTTTTCTTCCTGCTAATGCCTGCTAATGACTTTCCTTGAGCTTTAATATTCAAATGAAAATCATGTACCAGCCAGAAGAAAAAGCTTCCAGAACATGGAATCCTCCCCCATTAGAATAAAGATCTGTGTCCAGATCCATCTGAAACAAACATCCCCATCTTGCCTCCTAGATTCTCTGCCTCTGAATACAGAAAACTCACCAGCCCACACAAGCCACACTGTATGCACCCAGGATTCCATGCCTAAAACCATGGCTTCACGTTCATGGTAAAAAAGCCCTTACAGACATGGGGTGGCCTCTGCTCTCCAGGATAACTGATTGATGCTGCAGGTCTCTCCTGCACCCACTCATGCAGCTCGCTCTCTTTTGGCCTCAGCATGTGCTCAGTTTGGCAGGATGTCAACACAATGGGGTGCACCCAAAGCAATCATCATAATTTAGACTGTCAAAGAAACAAAAAATAGGACCCTACCCAGCATCCTGTGTAAAATTCTGCATTTTTTTCCCAGTGGAGAGAAGTCTCTGCAGATAAAAGGAAAACCTCCCCTAACAGGGTTTATTCCAGAAATGAGGAGGATTCAGCACAGTGTAGGGGTGAGTCTCTGTTCATTAAAAGCATCCTTCTTCATGGCCAAACACAGTGGCTTATGCCTGTAATCCCACTACTTTGGGAGGCTGAGGCAGGCGGATCACCTGAGGTCAGAAATTCGAAATGAGCCTGGCCAACATGGAGAAACCCCATCTCTACTAAAAATATAAAATTAGCTGGGCATGGCGGCAGGCACCTGTAATTCTAGCTACTCAGGAGGCCAAGGAAGGAGAATCCCTTGAGCCCAAAAGGTGGAGGTTGCAGTGAGCCAAGATTGTGCCACTGCACTCCAGCCTGAGCAACAGACTGAGACCCTGTCTGAAAAATATATACATTTTTCAACTGGATGTTTTATGGACTGTGAACAACCCCATAAATTTAATGTATTTGCCCCTGTCTTTTTCCAAACTAGCGTTTGGATCCGTGGTAGCTTAAAACCAAGCATATGATGAGAAGACTCATTCATCACAGTGGCAAGGACTAAGGGAAATTTTCAAAGAATTGGGCACCATTCAGCTCTGTTGGCAGGAGTTGAATTTGATAAAAAAACTTGTTGCTGTCTTAGTCTCTAGTCATTGTGGAGATCAGAGAGTTATGGGGAGTCCTGGGGCTCCCAAGGAAGGTGAAGGAGTTTATGGGGAAATGACAATTCAGTGACTGGAGCAGACAGGAGAGGTACATGTGCTGTACCTCTGTACAGCTCTACCTCCAAACAGGTACAGCTGTTTGGAGCATCAGTCTCCCGATAGGCTCGTCCTGTTCGCTTGGTTTGTCATTGAACTTTGCTCATGGCTGAAACAGCCACAGGGATGCTGAGAAAAGTCCAAGGTGAAGAAACACCAGGTTTGTCATTTCTTGCTTAGCTCTTGTAGCTAATGGAAGGAAAAACATAAGAAGCTCTTTTTAAATGGTATTTTTATTTTATAAATAAAATGCTATCTAAATTGGAAGAGTCATATTTCTCTTGCATTAGCATTCTTATTTTCTGTTTTTCATTAAGAAATATTTCAGATGAGCAAAATGCCGCATCCTAACCCCTTTATAATTCCTTCCCTTTCTACATTCTCCAAGATAAACAGTTCTTCTTCATTTTACCCACCAATGTTTCTCCTTATAATTTAGTTACAGATAGAGAGATACCATTAATATAATACATATATATGCTAAACATACCTAGTATTTTTGCATGCTCTTAACTTTTTAAAAATGTACATTATTTCTGCATTTGCTATTTATCCATATAAATGTAAGACCCTAATTTAATTCAGCTGCCATTTAATAATCCATGTTATGAATCTGCCACAATTATGGATCAAGTCTCCTGTCAGCAGATATTTAAGTTGTTTCCAATTCTGCACAATTGTAATACTGGTGCAGTAAACATCCATGAACATTCTTGGACTTGTATCCTTATATACATGTGAAAATGTTGTGACATGCTCTTAATAGAACATCTTAGAGATTTTTTTTGTGCTGATACAAGTTATTAGAGCTCATTCTTTTAACATTTGAACAGATTCTAGCTTGAAAAAAACTAAAATATATTGAAAAAAGTTTCTTGCTGGACATTTAGATTGCCCCCTCTCTTGGTTTTGTGTTATTAATAACAGGCTCACAGGCCTCCTTAGACACATGTGAGTTTCTCCAGAGTATGTACCTAAAATTGTTACTGCTCCATGAAAGGGTGGGTGTGCCTCCAACTTTCCACATACTGCCTGACTGCTCTTCAGCTGCGCTGATTTGACAACCACCAGCAGTGCCTGGGGAACTCCATTGCTCTACCACCTCGCGATCTTCCAGTATGGTCACTCATAAGGTTTTGCAAATTGATGAATTCCAAAATGATATCTCATTTGTTTTCACTTGCATGATTCCTTATAAAATTGAGCATCTTTTCATGTATTTATTGACCATTTGGCTTTTATCTTCCATCAATTGTGTATTCATAGCCTTTGTTCTTTCTTCTTCTGGGTGACCATTGGGAGAATCTGGTTCCAATCATTTTCATATTCTTTTTTTTTTTTTTGAGACAGAGGCTTGCTTTGTTGCCCAGGCTGGAATGCAGTGGCATAATCTCAGCTCACTGCAACCGTTGCCTCCTGGGTTCAAGCAATTCTCCTGCTTCAGCCTCCCAAGTAGCTGGAATTACAGGCATGCGCTATCACACCCAGCTAATTTTTGTATTTTTAGTAGAGACGGGGTTTCTCCAAGTTAGCCAGGCTGGTTTCAAACTCCTGACACTCAGGAGATCCACCCATCTTGGTCTCCCAAAGTGCCAGGATTACAGGCAAGGGCCACCACCCCTGGCCCCATATTCTATTTATTTTAGGAGAGGAGAGTTTATTGAAAGTTTAACTAACAAAAGGCTGATACGTAAATAATAAATAAGTTGCCTAGCAAGTAAAATAATTTTAAAACCCAGTCGATAAATAAAATGAATTTATGCCTGCTTCTCAAAGCTTTGGAGACTCCGCCATGATGACTACACTGTATGTGAAAGAGATCCCCAAGGGATGTGGACTCAGCTTGCAGAGGGACCAGGACGGCTTCATGACCCCTGAGCTAAGGGAAGGAGGAGGAAACTGACATTATCAAATATTGACCTTTCAACTGGAGTTTAACGGATATGACCTCATTTAATTTTTGCAATGAAACTGTAAGATAGGTATGATTTCCCTTTCTTTCCTTGAGGATGAGGAAATGTAGACTCAAAGAGATTAAATGTCTAGCCTGAGGTTAAGGAGCATGAAATTAATGAGAAAGACAGAATTTTGAGGTTTGTCTGTCACCAAAACGCAGGCACTCTCTATGACAGAAGAGAACCACAGTTCTCACTGATAAAGTAGTTTGAAAAGAAGATTCATTATTGGGGGAAGTTCGTAAACCTTAACAGGAAGAGGGTGGGAATGGTGACTCACACCTGTCATCCCAGCACTTTAGGAGGCCGAAACAGGCAGATCACCTAAGGCCAGGAGTTTGAAACCAACCTAGCCAACACGGCAAAACTCCATCTCTACTAAAAATAAAAAAATTAGCTGGGTGTGGGGGTGCATGCCTGTAATCACAGCTATTAAGGAGGCTGAGGCAGGAGAATTGCTTGAACCTGGGAGGCAGAGGTTGCAGTGAACCAAGATCACGTCATTGCACCTGCAACAGAGCGAGACTCCATAAAAAAAAATGTTAGCCATTGTTTTGGAAATAATTATTTGTGGAGGTTAAAATTTTGTTCAATCTCTTCTGAAACCTAAGCAGTAGGGATCTTCAAAGGCACACTTTCTTCTCTACACGTCTCCAGGAGGAAACTGTGGCCACCAAATATTAAGCATGCTTCAGATAATTTAGATGCATCCTATTCTTTTTTCCCCTTAGACTACTTGTTCTCCTGCTATGTAAAGAGTGGTTATATTTTCAGGAAACAATATCAGTTGCTTTCTCAGGGAGCCAATGATTTGATAAGGCATGGTAAGAGGCAGAGATAAATCAGGCTTTGAGAGAATATAAAACACGTTTTAGTTTCTAAGTCCTAGAGCCTATTCTGAAAGTTTAAATGAAACACATTCCATGAATATATTATACATTTATTTTACCAGTGCTTTATTTCCCAATTATAATTGCCAGGTAATTACCGAAGGAACCCACACTGAGCCCTGACAGTTCACAGTTGTGGGAGCCTGCAGGAATTTCTAAGACAGTTTTCATAGCTCTTAAGATGTCCTAAACCGAGAAAGTCTGCCCATGAGTTTTAGGGGCAAGGTACTTTTTTTGAGACAGAGCCTCGCTTTGTTGCCAGGCTGGAGAGCAGTGAAGCAATATCGGCCCACTGCAACCTCCACCTCCCAGGTTCAAGCAATTCTCCTGCCTCAGCCTCCTGAGTAGCTGGGACTACAGGCAAACACCACCATGCCCTGCTAATTTTTGTATGTTTAGTACCGATGGGGTTTCACTATGTTGGCCAGTCTGGTCTTGAACTCCTGACCTCGTGACCCACCCGACTTAGCCTCCCAAGGCAGTGTATTTTTTTAACTTAATGGGGAGATGGCCAAGGCCCTCAGTATTGCACATGGTCAGCTTGAAGTGATTTCAGCCAAAGCTCTGCTGGACAGTTCCCACAACCCCCTCTCTCCCTCTACACGTATTCCCCCACTATCTGGCTTGAATTGTTTCTGAAGCCAAGGCAGCCAGAAATATAAGGGGGTTGATGTCTCTGGAAGTGACTCTCCTCCAGCAGAAGAGTCAGTCAGTAGATAAATGCTCCAATCTCTGGAATTACAAAAGGAAAATATAAAGGGTGCTCTACCTCCCATTTGCCAACAGAAGTATGCAGTTCAACACTACACCTTTTCCTGGCTTTTCTTCCATTCCTCCCTCACTCTCCTCACTCATAATTCTTCCTCCTGGGAGCACCTCCCAAATAAATTACTTACACACAAATCCTTTCCTCAGGTTCTGTTTTTGGAAAAAATTAAAGCAATATTCTCAAGATCTCATAGATACCTATGTATTATTTTAAATTTACTTTTTCCTCCAGAAGTTTTCTCTGGCCTTTTCTAAATATTAAAAAAAAAATTAAGTAAACTCCTCTTTTATTACACTCTATTTTTATTGGCTGTTTATCCATATCCATCACTAGAAGGCTTCTTAAAGATAGGATCTGTCCCCATTGTAGGCCTGGTTCTAGCACAATATTTGGCCATGGCAAGCACTCAGTAAATATCTCAGGAGCAAACAGAAGCAGTATGCATAGCTATTAGGCTAGGTACTTCTTAGTCACATATAAAGGTGAACAATATTCACAACATTTTCTATGGTCAAGAGAATTTGCTGTACTGAAAAATGACAGACAAGAAAGTAGACAAATTGCAAAGCAGTATGTCTTGAGCTCCAATGAAGGCATGAAATCAGCATTGCCTAAGCTCTGTCTTTATGATCAGGAAAAGGTTGTCTGAAAAGATATCTGAGCAAAAACTTCAAAAAAACCTGGTAGGGGGAAGATCCAAGATAGCAGTTTAGGACCAGCTCAGGATTGCAGCTCCCAGTGAAAGCACAGAGGGTGAGTGGATGCCATATTTCCAGCTGGATCTTTACTGCCCACAGACCAGGAGATTCACAGGCAGAGAAGCCCCACAGGATGCCAGCATGGCTATTTTGGCCAGCACGGCTATTTTGCTGGTGCTCTGGTGCAGCGGTTCTCCATACAAAATACACTGGTCTGGCAGACCTTTTAAGCCAGCAATTGGAGCTCTGGGAAGGCAGAGTCAGCCATTCATCTGATTAAACAGGGGACAAAAACAGGGAGCCAGGCCAGGAGATTCCAGGGCAGCACCATTGTTTCAGCTGGCACAGTGGGTCACTGCACAGGAAATCACACAGATCCCGGCACCTTGTCAGCAGGTGACTGAAAAACCTGGGAGAGAGTCAACCATTCAACCTAAAAAAAAAAAAAAAAAGGCTCTGAGGCAGGGAGCCAGGTGATCAGGCTTGGTGGGTCCCACCCCCCCCAACACACAAAAACAGCAATGGGAAACGCTCTAAATTGAGAGTTTCACGACAAGCACAGGTGAACCTGGGACAATCCAGCTGTGTGGGTGAGGGGTGTCCACCATTACCGAGGCACTCCAGCCCTACAGAGGTAGTCTGCCATGGCTGAAGCAGCCCACCATTGCCCAGGCAACTGGCCATAACAGAGACAGTCCACCATTACAGAGGTGGGTCACCATTGCCAAGGCAATTCTAACCACACCCATATAAACAGGAATGCAGGGATGTTCACACAGCAGCTGGGCAGAGCCCACAACAGCTCAGCAAAGCCTCTGCAGGCAGACAGTGACTAGGCTGCCTCCTTGCTGGGCAGGGCAGCCCTGAAAAAAAGGCAGCAGCACAATGGAAACTCATAAATAAAGCCCTAACTCCCCAGGACAGAGCACCTCAGGGGAAAAAAGGGGGTTTATGAGTTCTGCTGCAGCAGACTTAAACATACCTGCCCAGCAGCTCTCAATAATGGAGCTCACAGCTCAGCACTCGAGCTCCTATAAGGGATGGACTGTCTCCTCAATCAGCTCCCTGACCCCGGTATATCCAAACAGTCACCTCACAAAGGACTGATCAGACTGACATTTGGTGGGCATCACTCTGGCACAAAAATAGCAGAAGAAAAAACTGGTAGCAATCCTTACTGTTCTGCAGCTGCTGCAGGTGATCCCCAGGCAATCAGAGCTGGGAGTAGACGTCAGCAGTCCTACAGCAGAGGGGCCAGACTGTTAGAAGGAAAAATAAGAAAAAGAAATAACTTCATCAACAACTGGACATCCACTCAGAGACCCAATCTGAAAATCAGCAACTACAAAGACGACAGGTGGATAAATCCATAAAGATGGAAAGAAACCAGCGCAAAAAGGAGAAAAACACCCGAAACAAGAACACCTCTCCTCCTACAAGAGACCACAACTCCTCACCAGCAAGGAAACAAGGCTGGATAAACAATGAGTGTGATGAAATAACAGAATCAGACTTCCGAAGGTAGGTAATGAGAAACTTCCGTGAGTTAAAAGAACATGTCCTAGCCCAGTGCAAAGAAACTAAGAACCTTAAAAAAGATTTGATGAAATGCTAACGAGAATGGACAACTTAGAAAGGAATACAAGTGAATTGATGGAGCTGAAGAACACAACACAAAAACTTCACAAAGCATGCATAAGTTTTGACAGCCAAATTGACCAAGCAGAAGAAAGGATATCAGAGGTCGAGAATCAACTCAATGAAATAAAATGAGAAGCCAAGATTAGAGAAAGAAGCATAAAAATGAATGAACAAAGTCACTAAAAAATGTGGGACTATGTGATAAGATCTAATCTACGTTTGATAGGTATACCTGAATATGACGAACAGAATGAATCCAAGCTGAAAAATACTCTTCAGAATATTATCAAGGAAAACTTCCCCAACCTAGCAAGGCAGGCCAATATTCAAGTCCAGGAAATACAGAGAACACCACAAAGATATTCCTCAAGAAGAGCAACCGCAAGGCACATAATTGTCAGATTCACCAGGGTTGAACTGAAGGAGTAAATGCTAAGGGCAGCCAGACAGAAAGGTCGGGTTACCCACAAAGGCAAGCCCATCAGACTCACAGCAGACCTCTTGGCAGAAACTTAAGAAGCCAGAAAATAGTGGGGGCCAATATTCAACATCTTTAAAAAAAAGAACTTTCAACCCAGAATTTCATATCAAGCCAAACTAAGCTTCATAAGTGAAGGAAAAATAAAATCCTTTGTGAACAAGCAAGTACTCAGAGATTTTGTCACCACCAGGCCTGCTTTACAGCAGCTCCTGAAAGAGGCACTACACATAAAAAGAAACAACCAGTACAAGCCACTCCAAAAATATACCAAATGGTAAAGAGCATTAACAAAATGAAGAATCTGCATCAACTCATGGGCAAAACAGCCAGCTAGCATCAAAATGGCAGTATCAAATTTACACATAACAATATTAACCCTAAATCTAAATGGGCTAAATGCACCAATCAAAAGACACAGACTGGCAAATTGGATAAAACGCCAAAACCCTTCTATGTGCTGTATCCAGGAAATCCATCTCACATGCAGAAATACACAAAGGCTCAAAATAAAGGGATGGAGGAAGATTTACCAAGCAAATGGAGAGCAAAAAAAAAAAAAAAAGCAGGAGTTGCAATTCTCATCTCTGATAAAATAGACTTTAAAGCAACAAAGATCAAAAGAGACAAAGAAAGACATTACATAATGGTAAAAGGATCGATGCAACAAGAAGAGCTAACAATCCTAAATATATACGCACCCAATACAGGAGCACCCAGACACATAAGGCAAGTTCTTAATGACTTACAAAGAGACTTAGACTCCCACAGAATAATAGTGGGAGACTTTAACACTACACTGTCAATATAAGACAGATCAACCAGACAGAAAATTAACAAGGATATCCAGGACATAAACTCAGACCTGGAACAAGCAAACCTGATAGACATCTACAGAACTCTCCACCCCAAATCCACAGAATATACATTCTTCTCAGCACCACATCACACCTACTCTAAAATTGACCACATAATTGGAAGTAAAGCACTCCTCAGCAAATGCAAAAGAACAGAAATTATAACAAACATTCTCTCAGACCATGGTGCAATCAAGTTAGAACTCAGAATTCAGAAACTAACTCAGAACCACACAACTTCATGGAAACTGAACAACTGGCTCTTGAATGTTGTCTGGATAAACAATGAAATAAAGGCAGAAATAAAGAAGTTCTTCGAGACAAATGAGAATGAAAACACATTATACCAGAATCTCTGGGACACATTTAAAATAGTCTCTAGAGGAAAATATATAGCAATAAATGCCCACATGAGAAGGAGAGATCCAAAATTGACACCTTATCATCAAAATTGAAAGAGCTAGAAGAGCAAGATCAAACAAAACTCAAAACCTAGCAGAAGACAAGAAATAACTAACAACAGAGCAGAACTAAAGAAGATAGAGACACACACACACAAAAAAAAACCTTCAAAAAATCAATAAATCCAGGAGCTGGGTTTTTTAAAAGATCAACAAAACAGACCACTAGGCAGATTAATAAAAAAGAAAGGAAAGAATAAACAAATAGATGCAATAAAATACAATAAAAAGGGAATCGCCACAGACTCCAGAGAAATTCAAACCATCATCAGAGATTATTACAAACAACTCTATGCACATAAACTAGTAAACCTGGAAGAAATTGATAAATTCCTAGACACTTGTCTTCTCTCAAGCCTGAACCAGAAAGAAGTCAAAACCCTGGACCAATAACAAGATCTGAAGTAGAGGCAGCAATTAAAAGCCTACCACACAAAAAAAGCCCAGGTCCAGATGGGTTTACAGCCGAATTCTACCAGACACGCAAAGAGGAGCTGGTACCATTCCTTCTGAAACTATTCCAAATAATCCAAAAAGAGGGAATCCTTCCCAAATCATTTTATGAGACCAACATCATCCTGATACCAAAACCCGGCAGAGACTCAACAAGAAAAGAAAACTTCAGGCCAATATCCATGATGAACATAAACGCAAAAATCTTCAATAAAATACTGGCAAGCCCATTGCAACAGCACATCAAAAAGCTTATCCACCATGATCAAGCAGGATTCATCCCGGGGATGCAAGGCTGGTTCAACATATGCAAGTCTATAAATGTAATTCACCACATAAACAGAACCAAAGACAAAAACCACATGATTATCTCAATTGATGCAGAGAAGGCCTTTGAAAAAATTCAACAGCCCTTTAGGCTAAAAACCCTCAATAAACTCAATATTGACAGAATGTATCTCAAAATAAAAAAGCTATTTGTGACAAACCAACAGCCAATATCATACTGAATGGGCAAAAACTGGAAGCATTCCCTTTGAAATCTGGCACTAGACAAGGATGCCCTATCTCACCATTCCTATTCAATATAGTACTGGAAGTTCTAGCCAGAGCAATCAGGCAAGAAAAAGAAAGAAAGGGTATTCAAATAGGAAAGGTGGAAGCCAAATTGTCTCTATTTGCAGATGACATGATAGTATACCTAGAAGACCCCATCGCCTCAGCCCAAAAACTCCTGAAACTGATAAGCAGCTTCAGCAAAGTCTCAGGATATAAAATCAATGTGCAAAAATCACAAGCATTCCTATACATTAATAACAGACTGAAAGAGAGCTAAATCAAGAATGAACTGCCATTCACAATTGCTACAAAGATAATAAAATACCTAGGAATACAACTAACAAACAATGTAAAGGACATCTTCAAGGAGAACTACAAACCACTGCTCAATGAAATAAGAGCGGACACAAACAGATGGAGAAACATTCCATGTTCATAATTAGGAAGAATCAATATCATAGAAATGGCCATATTGCCCAAAGTAATTTACAGATTCAATGCTATCCCCATCGAGCTACCAATGACCTTCTTCACATAACTGGAAAAAACCACCTTAAACTTCATATGGAACCAAACGAGAGCCCGAGTAGCCAAGTCAATTCTAAGTAAAAAGAACACAGCAGAAGGCATCACACTACCGGACTTCAAACTATACTACAAGGTTACAGTAATCAAAACAGCATGTACTGGTACCAAAACAGAGATATAGACCAATGGAACAGAACAGAGGCATCGGAGGCAACACAACATATCTACAACCATACAATCTTTGATAAACCTGACAAAAACAAGCAATGGGGAAAGGATTCCCTGTTTAATAAATGGTGTTGGGAAAACTGGCTAGCCATGTGCAGAAAGCAGAAACTGGACCCCTTCCTGACACCTTACACTAAAATTAACTCCAGATGGATTAAAGGCTTAAACATAAGACCTGGCACCATAAAAACCCTAGAAGGAAATCTTGGCAAAACCATCCAGGACATAGGAGTAGGCAAGGACTTCATGACCAAAACACCAAAAGCATTGGCAACAAAAGCCAAAACAGACAAATGGGACCTAATCAAACTCCACAGCTTCTGCATGGCAAAAGAAAGAGTCATTAGAGTGAATTGGCAACCAACAGAATGGGAAAAAATTTTAGCAGTTTACCCATCTGACAAAGGGCTGATATCCAGAATTTACAAAGATCTCAAACAGATTTACAGGAAAAAAACAAACAAGCCCATTCAAAAGTGGGCAAATAATATCAACAGACACTTTACAAAAGAAGACATACATGAGGCCAACAAACATATGAAAAAATGCTCATCGTCACTGGTCATTAGAGAAAAGCAAATAAAAACCACATTGAGATACCATCTCACACCAGTTAGAATGGCGATCATTAAAAAATCTGGACACAACAGATGCTGGAGAGGATGTGGAGAAATAGGAACACTTTTACACTGCTGGTGGGAGTGTAAATTAGTTCAACCCTTGTGGAAGACAGTGTGGCGATTCCTCAAGGACCTAGAAACAGAAATTCCATTTGACCCAGCAATCCCATTACTGGGTATATATCCAGAGGATTATAAATTGTTCTACTATAAGGACACATACACACGAATGTCATTGTAGCACTGTTTACAATAGCAAAGACCTGGAATCAACCCAAATGCCCATTGATGATAGACTGGTTTGGGAAAATGTGGCACATATACACCATGGAATATTATGCAGCAATCAAAAACAATGAGTTCCTGTCCTTTGTAGGGACATGGATGAACCTGGAGAACATCATTCTCAGCAAACTGACACAAGAACAGAAAATG